TAGTAATTATTACATTAATCTAATTACACTGTTGAAGATATAATTTGTAGTAATTAATAACTATTTTAGAGTAACTTACCAAACTGTTATAATATCAGAGGTGAAACTGGAAGAACAGTAGCCTATGTTATTCAACCTAATTGTAATGTTCATGTAGGCTGTAGGTGCAATCCTGCAGGCATTAAAAGAACGTGGCAGCAGCTGAAAATAAAATATATAAACATAATTCAATCAGGTAAGGCTTGAGCATATCATGGGTGTAGGCTACCTGACTTTACCAACATCTGACATATTAAATAACTAAATAGCATCCAGCATATAGCAGTGCAGCAGCATTTCTGGCTGAGGGAATTCCTTCATTAGAGCCAGTCACTCCCGAAGATCCAAGCCTTCATAAAATGTAAGAGGTCTACATATGTGTTATTTTTTTTATATAGGGTATTTTTGATATTTCCATTTATTTTACTTTGGGTTGGGTTTTTCGTTGGTCCCAACAGATTCTGATGGTAATATCTGTCTTTTGGAGCCTCCTGTCCCAACAGAACCCCGGGCAGTTGTAAGTAGCCCACACTCAATACACCAGAAATTATGACAAATAGGCCTAAACTTCATAAATAGTAGGGACACACTTCAGTGTGTAATGCCACAGTTTAATTCTGTAGAATTTGTTTAGAACTACCGGAGGTGGAAAGAGTAATAAAATATTTTACTCAAGTAAAAATACTATTACTTTGATACAATTTTTACTTAAGTACAAGTAAAAGAAGCCGGTCTAAAAATCTACTCAAGTAAAAGTACTTCTATTCAACGACTCTCCTATGTAGGGTTGTAATGTATGAGAGTTTCACAGTATGATAACCGTCTCAAAAATTATCACGGTTTATGGTATTAAACAATTATTAAATATATAAACTGCATTATTAAATTACGGTCAGTCAATAATTGATCATGAATTAGATTAACAACTTATTTTGTATCATTAATAACTTATTAAAATGTTTAAAAATAATTGAGTTCTATGAAATTTGAAATACAAATATATTATCAAAAACAGTGGTAATCAAATAAAAGTTTAGCAAACGTTTTAATCCTTTTATTTTTTGGCAAAGTGCTGCAAAACAGATTTAGTCAATTAAACCATAGACAAACAATATATATATATTCCTTAAATAATGTTTAAATAAATTGTAGTATTATTGTTGGTGTTTAAACACTGCTTCCTCTTTAAAAAAGGTGGAGGAGCCCGAAATAAACTCTGGGTTTACCGAAGAAAACCTGCTCCCGACCAGGGGTGCGTTTCCCGAAAGCATCGTTAGCCAACTATGGTCGCAAGTTGGTCGCAAATCCCATTGAACTCTATTGGTAACGACGGAACTTGCGACCATAGTTGGCTAACGATCCTTTCGGGAAACACACCCCAGGTTAGGTTCACAGAGTAAGTTACCTCTCTTTCAGAAACGGGCTTGACTTACTCTGCTTTCTCGGGTTTGATATACCTCCCATTCTGAAACAGAAAACCCAGAGTTTCCCTCATTTCAGGGTTAACATACTCAGAGTTTTCACTTAACCTCCTTTCTGAAACAGGCCCCTGGTGCGCAGAGTGTGTGGGTGTGTGTTTGTGTGGGTGTTTACTTTGTGTGCAAATTACTGTCTTATTCAGTTTTGTATAATGTTAGGTTTTGAACTTAAGATTTAAAAAAAGCATGTAAACATGCAAATTGGCCTGTAGGTATACAGCATTTTTATATTGTTTGTGTTTGAGTGAGAAAAGAATTGATGTGATATGAAAGATGTCATCACTGAATGTATTCTGTGCCAAAGCAGTGATAAATGATTCTCAGTTCAGACACATGGACTGACACGGTGTTGAGACACCGTGAAATACTGTATGTGTTCCTGTGATGTGTTTAGATCCGAGAAGAGAAGGTTGTTCGTCTCCTGTGAACACTCAGAACGTCACGCTTCTGCTCCAGTGTCCCACCGTCAAGTTCGTCACACACCCAGAATTCTTCACGGTCCTCCATGCAAACTACGTAAGTCACAAAGAGAAGGTTCAGATCCATGTTTTCATGTGTATTCTTGTGTCTTCGGGCCCTGCAATGCAGCGCCAAGCGCGACGCTAGTGTGTACGCTAGTTTCAGCCTGACGCAATTATCATTTTTAGGTCTGCGTCACATTGTTTAAATAGCAAATGCATTTGCGCTCATCTGTGCCCAGAACGAGTGTGTGTTCAGGCGCGTTGTTGCTATTTTGAGGAACTGAAATACACTGAGCCGTTGACCAACTGAACCCTGGTCTAAAGTCAATGGCGCAATATTTTTTTGTTATTTAAAGAGCGCGTTGGTAATGTGCGCCTATAGGCGGGTCCACAACACGCGTAACAGTCTGCTTATTACACACACACTCTGCTTAGTACACACACACTCTGCTTATTACACACACAGCAGCACAAAAGCATGCCAAATATTTCAAATAAAAGTATTACAATGTAGAAGATTATTATTGTGTACGTAGATGGTCTGCTTGCGCACTTTTGCCTCACGAGCAGATCTGTAAAAAGATCTACGTTCGGTCTTTCCACTATCAGATTCCACCGTGTAAACAGCGAATCCGCCACGGCGCCAGCGCAACTGGCATTTAAAGGGAATGGGAGATGAGACTCTGATGGTTTAACGCACGTAAATCCCAAAACACACCCATTACTCATTAAGAGAATAGAGACAAAACACACCCATTACTCATTAAGAGAGACAAAACACACCCATTACTCATTAAGAGAATAGAGACAAAACACACCCATTACTCATTAAGAGAGACAAAACACACCCATTACTCATTAAGAGAGACAAAACACACCCATTACTCATTAAGAGAGACAAAACACACCCATTACTCATTAACAGAATAGGGAAACCCTTTTAGACCATGCGCCGGGAGCGCCGACCATTTGTCCCGTTGTTAAACAAGTGAACTTGTGCCGTGCGCTTTAGACCATGCGCGTAGATCGTTGAAATAGGGCCCTTTGTGTGTTTTCTCCATTTCCAAGAATAATGGAAAGTTACTTTCTGAAAAAAGTAACATTTAAAAAACATTAGTCTTACGGCCCTCACACACTGAGTCCGAAATTTCTTATGGATGTTTTCGTATTCGTCATTCGGTGGCTCTGAATTGTCAAAACACCTCTCAAAACGCTTGCCTGGATGCGAAAAATGCAGAAAAATTTGATTGACATGATTGACAACGTGAGGTCGTATTTATTTTTTAACGTGCGAAAATTTCTGACTCCCACCTAAAATGTTTCAGAAAAGCGTTCCATGTATGATGTATAAATACAATTTTTGTGCTTATGTTTTGAAGATGTTATTAAAGGCCAGTGCCCGGTTGCATAAAGTACCTTAATTTTTTCTCTTAAGTATGATACTTAAAGGGATAGTTCACTTTTAAATTAATTTTTGATATGTTTTAGCTTACCTCAAGGGTATCCAAGATGTAGGCGTGTTTGTTTCCGCAGAAGTTTTGATTTTGATAATTTTAGGTCAAACCGTTCTTGTCTGTCAGTCATATAATGCAGGTCTATGGTCACCACCTCAAAGAGCAGCACAGAGAAGTCCAAATTAAACATGATTTAATGACTCGTAAATGTAAGTACACATTGATGGCCTAAGACACGAAACGAGCGGTTTGTGTGAGAAACCGAACAGTATTTATATCGTTTTTACCTCTTGTAACGCGCAGACCGAAGCGCCGGCGCCCTCAGATCACTTGGACGTGGCTGTAGTTACAAGAGGAAAAAACGATATAAATACTGTTGGTTTTCTCACACAAACCGTTCGTTTCGTGTCTTAGGCCATCAATGTGTACTTACATTTACGAGTCATTAAATCATGTTTAATTTGGACTTCTCTGTGCTGCTCTTTGAGGTGGTGACCATAGACCTGCATTAAATGACTGACAGACAAGAACGGTTTGACCTAAAAATATCAAAATTGAAATTACTGCGGAAACAAAGACACCTACATCTTGGATGCCCTTGAGGTAAGCTAAAACATATCAAAAACTAATTTCAAAGTGAACTATCCCTTTAAGGGGCGATTTTCCCTTACCTAATAACTTAAGGGTGTTGCATATAATCTCTTAAACAGTTCTCTTAGGTAAGGGAAACTTTTGAGTGTTTCACAACAGCGATCCTGGATTCACGTTATAAAAGTCTGTTGTTGCCATAGATACGCAAAACACTAACACTAACACTAGCAATTTCGCGGTTTCATCAAATAAAGTAGGCTAGGATATCGGAATGGATAAAGAAAACAAAAAAAGAAAGCCTAATTGGACAGAGGAGGAGAAATGTATTCTTCTTGACGAATATGGTCAAATAAAAACAATTTTGAAAAGCAAACTACGGGATGGAAACTTGACCGTTGCGTTTAAATGATGGGAAAGAGCCCCGGTGAACCACTGTTCTGACAGACGATTTATGCACGTGGAAAACATCTCCCACTATCGTCTGAAAACTCCCAGTTGCAAAATAACGCAGTGCTATAAGCAGTTGTAACACCACAGGAAAAGAGTGGTTGCGATGTGTGACATGGTTAAGGTCGCCGTCTAGTTTGTTAGCGATGTCAAATATTGCGCATCGATCAAACCGGTATTCAAGCAACAATTTTTCATCGCTAAGATGGTCCAAAGGGTTCTCCCTATCCCTAAAAATTCTTCTTGGCACATAATGATCTTCAGCTGGTTCCGTAAATTCAGCCATGTCGTCTTATTTTTGTCCGCGTTACTCTTAAGGTTACGATTTCCAAACCTTAAATTATACTTACGGAAATGACCGTTAAGGGGTTTTATGCAACACTTAATGCTTTTTAAGGGATTACTTAAGTGAAAAAACAGCATTTAAGGGAAATTCTAAGTGTTTATGACGTTTCACTTAAAGAAACCCTTAAGTCACACTTAAGGTTTTTTTTCTGCAACACCCTAGGGAACCTTTAGGGAACCATAAGGGCGAACTTAAGGGAAAATTACACTTAAGGTGCTTTATGCAACCGGGCACAGCACTTTGAATGAACGTGTTACTAACGTTCTGGAAGAACGTTTGTTCATAACTTCGCCTGTTCACTGTAACCGTTTGTATCCAGTGTGTTGAGTCCTCCTGACGTGTTTGACTCGTGGCTTAATTTGCTTCAGTATCCAGACACTGTGAGGATGTTTCCGGGATCCGTCGAGCGCTCGTGAACTCACTCTGTCCACGACTAGATTGCACTTTAGTTGAAGGCTGATATTGACTGAACTATTTGCAGATTCCCTCTTTATTGATCACATAAGCTCTCCTGCTGCAAAGGAGACAGATAACAGACATTAACAAGGCGAAGATAAAGTGTGCTGAGATAGAAGTGGATCTGTGCGTTTATGGTGCAAATCTGTGTGTGTTTGTGTCGTGCTCTCAGAGATGCCTTTATTCTGTTTGCAGTTATGTCACGCAGGTCACGTACAAAGACCTCATAAATACGAGGCATTGATTGAATATTCATGATTATACTGAAGTCTCAGTGTGTGTTTGGTTTGATAACAACACATTATTCTATCAGACCAGGTGATTGATTTACACTCACAAGAATATGCATTAATATGATTGTCACATGCAGACTGAGTCGATATTCTAGTTCTTGAAACCCAAACATGACCTTTGACATGAAATATTTGGAATATCCACCGTAACTGAATATGCAGGGCTCAACACTAATGCGTCAAGTGTTTCTCTCGATGCGTACGGCCGTCTGCCGGAAGCTAGTTATTTTATTCGATAAAGTTTTAAATATGGATATTTTTCTTACACGAACGCATCGCTTCACTTCAGAAGGCCTTTATTAACCCCCGCAGAGCCGTGAGGAGCACTTTAATCTCGGATAGATGCACTTTTAGTTTTATGGACTTAAAAAATGGTGCCCATTCACTCCCATTATAAAGCTTGGAAGAGCCAGGACATTTTATAATATAACTCTGAAAGAAGAATGTCATATAAACCTAGGATGACTTCAGGGTGAGTAAATCATGGGCTAATTTTAATTTTTGGGTGAACTATCCCTTTAAGACATAACAGACTTGATATAACAAGACATAACAGACTACATATAATAGTTGTTTATATGTAATTTTGTGATTTCAGTACTGAAGTAAGTTCTCTTTCGCGTCGTCTTGCACTTGAATATTGAAATTGGCAAGATTTAAAAAGCATGTGCTAGTGATAAACTTTCATGGCGATGCAGCACTGGCCCGATCTGGCAGTCCTTATGGTCAAGCCCTGATACTCATTCCAAAAATAGCATTTATTTGTCACGGGATGCACACATAAAGGGTAAGGTCCAAGTGCAGTTTAATGGGGTAATCCGTACTCACAATCCAGCCAGGCAAAAGGTCAAAATCCATACAAGACAGTCCAAAAACAAGAAACAACCAGGAGTGGAACAGAGAAGTGCAAAATGACATTAAACAAAGAATCCACAACAATCACAGAAACAGACAGGGTATAAACCATGTGCGTGGGAACAGCTGTGTGCAATGATCAGAGATGAGTTCCGACAAAGGATTATGGGAAATGCAGTTCCTGATCGTGGTGACGGTATGGGGAAGAGACCTCTAGTGGACACCCAGGGAACTCCAGCCAGACACTTTGACATTATTAAAGTCAACATGAAATGAATATTCACCCCGTTTATTTTCTAATTGCATGTTGTAGATATTATTGTGAACGGTTCATCCGTGCATATGTTTCTCTCTTTTTTGACATGGAAATGTTTAATCAAAATGCCATAACTGGATCTTCCAGTAAAAACAACAGACTTCACTCTGGTGACATATGCAGGACTTCTCCAATCATGTAGTGAGATTAAACCCCTGCAAACTCACATTCGTGCTTAAATATTTTACAAACTGTTGTGTTTGTGTTTCCCCGCTCAGGGTGCTTATAGGATGTTTACTAACAGCACCTGCCTGAAGCACATGATCCTGAAAATACGGCGAGACGCGCGCAACTTTGAGCGATATCAACACAACCGGGACCTCGTCACTTTCCTCAACAAATTCTCTGATACTCAGCTGGAGCTCCCGAGAGGCTGGGAGATCAAGACTGACCCGCAGGGCAAGGTGAGCGCGTGTGTGTGTGTGTGTGTGTGTGTGTGTGCGTGTGCGTGTGTGTGTGTGTGATGGGTAGGTTTAGGGGCCGGGTGAGTGTGTGTGCGTGTGTGTGTAATGGGCAGGTTTAGGGGCCGGGTTAGTGTGTGTGTGTGTGTGTGTGTGAGGGGTAGGTTTAGGGGCCGGGTCAGTGTGTGTGTGTGCGTGTGATGGGTAGGTTTAGGGGCCGGGTTAGTGTGTGTGTGTGTGTGTGTGTGTGTGTGTGTGTGTGTGTGTGTGTGTGGGGTAGGTTTAGGGTTAGGGTTAGGGTTAGGGTTAGGGTTAGTGTAAGGGGACTGAATATACAGTTTGTACAGTATAAAAACCATTACGTCTATGGAATGTCCTATCAAGTATAGCAAAACAAACCTGTTTGTGTGTGTGTGTGTGTGTGTTTTGCTGTGGTAGTCATTCTTCGTGGACCACAACAGTCGGGCAACGACCTTCATTGACCCCAGGATTCCCCTTCAGAACGGACGACTGCCCAACCACCTCACACACAGACAACACTTACAGAGACTGCGCAGCTATAGTGCCGGAGAGGTACAGCACACACACACACACACACACACACAGCACACACACACACAGACAACACTTACAGAGACTGCGCAGCTATAGTGCCGGAGAGGTACAGCACACACACACACACACACACACAGCACACACACACACACACACAGACAACACTTATAGAGACTGCGCAGCTATAGTGCCGGAGAGGTACAGCACACACACACACACACACACACACACCAACAACACTTACAGAGACTGCGCAGCTATAGTGCCGGACAGGTACAGCACACACACACACACACACACACATAAAAATCATGTGGAAATAAATTTCATGTTTTCAGATTTATTTAAAGAAGCCTGCAAAGTTCTGCAAAGTTATAAAGCTCATATTCTCCCACAAATGGGATTTATTTTATCTAACAGAGAACGCTGATCCAGACCTGTCTATATTAGCAACAACGCAAAGAAAGAAAACTAGGCTAAAGTGTTGTTTGTGTGTTTCAGTTCGAAAGCAAAGCCGTTCTGGATGCTTTAGAAGCCTTGGAAGCTGAAACTTCAATTGAGCACACAATTGAGATGTTTGGCCAATCACAACACACTGGGACAGCTGGCCAATCAGAGCACTCTAGGCTTTTCGGAAGGCGGGGCTTTGTAGAAAACCAGAACAAACAGAGCATTTCAGACAGACTGAGGCTACGTTTACACAACAACGATCTGCTTAAAGCGGAGAAGTTTTTCCTTTGAGTTCCCTTTCAAGGCGGTCACTTCGACATTACGTCATACTGACGTATATGGGAACTCCTCCCTTCTCCATTTTCACTGAAATCTTATAGGTTAACGCCAGGTGGAGACAGCTGGCCAATTGACGCAAAACATGCAAATGCTGACCGGTCCGCGGGCAGTATAAATAGCATGGGTGCGACAATTACGTCAGAATCTCTTTCTTCACGCTAGAAGTCTTATCTGAAGTCATCGTGGAAGTTGCAATAGAGGTTACTCACCATGTTTCCTCCCCGCATCCGATGGCTGCTACATGCCAGATATGTGCGGTATTGACTCGCTCTACCCAAACAAGGATCTACCGAGGCCGCACTCACGGACGACTGGCATACGTGCTGGTCTACCAGTGCGCGCCCTCATAAACTCCGGGCATCAGCAGGGATGAGGCCCACTGCCGCCAGCGGCTGCTGGTGGGCCCTCTCACGCCCAAAGAAGAGTTGACAGTCGTTCTCCCCTGTGGCCCAGTGGCGGAACCTGAAGCCTTCGCGCGAGAGACCCGTGTTCGATCCCGGCTCTCGCAGCAGATACATTTTAACCTGCCCGTCGCCTCTCCGGTCCTTTTCGCGGGCTCGCTAGACGGACTCGACGCGATAGGCTTCGTCGGAAAGGATACTTTTATTATTTTACTTAGCCCGGTATCTAACAGCCAGGCTACTTCAAGAAAGATTCCGTCTTCACGACGTCCTATGGTAAGTCATGCGAAGACACATCCAGAGAGACGAGGCAAGGCGATGGCTCTGTGTCTAAAGGCGCGAAAGTGGTTGTTTCCCCCTGTGGCTCAGTGGCGAACCCCAAAGCCGTCGCACGGGAGACCCGTGTTCGATCCCAGCTCTCACAGCAGATAAAATTTAGTCTCGCCGCGGCCAGACATTAAACCGAAACTTTTGATCTCTATACGTCCAGCCTTCCTCGATGTCTCTCTTCGTCGGCACCTCGTCCCGCCTAATTCGGCTACAGCCGCCAAAACGGTTCGAACCCGAACGAACCGGATCTTCACCGCTGGCAGAGGGCGGGACCGGGAATGTGGCGACACAGGCCACGGAGAGCGCCGCGTCAGGACGCCCCGCTCTGGTAATGGAGGTGCACAGCTTACAGCTTATGTCGTCAGGCTGCCCTGTATCCTTCAGTGCAACTGGCCATTCTGATTTAACCACGTATCCACAGTTGTTGTCGCTATGCCACTGACGCTGTGTTTATGTACACACTGCACACTGATATGTGCTATGGTTTAGCTGTTATATCCTTATATATTGCCCTGTATCCCTCAGTGCAACTGGCTATTCTATTAACCACGTAATCACAGTTGTTGTCGCTACGCCACTGACGCTGTGTTTATGTACACACTGCACACTGATATGTGCTATGATTTAACTGTTATGCCCTTATATATTGCCCTGTATCCCTCAGTGCAACTGGCCATTCTGATTTAACCACGTAATCACAGTTGTTGTCGCTACGCCACTGACGCTGTGTTTGTTCACACTGCACACTGGTATATGTGCTAAGATTTGCGCCGTTATATGCTGCCCTGTTTCTTCAGTGCAAATGGCTATTCTGATTACCACGTATTCACAGTTGTTGTGCGATGAAATGACGCTGTGTTTACGTGCACTCTACACACTGATATGTGTTCATGATTCATGCCGCTATAAATTGCCCTGTATCCTTCAGTGCAACTGGCTATTCTGATTCACAGTTGTGCGATGCCACTGACGCTGTGTTTATGTACACTGATATGTGTGTGTTATGCTTATGCCACGATATTGCCCTGTACCCTTCAGTGCAACTGGCTATTACTACGTATTCACAGTTGTTGCGTTGCAACGGACGCTGTGTTACGTACACACTACGCACTGTTATGTGTATGATTTATGCCATTATATATTGCCCTGTTCCTTATCCTTCAGTGCAAATGGCTATTCCGATTACTTCGTATTCACAGTCTTGCGATGCAACTGACGCTGTGTTACGTACACACCGTACACTGCGTTATGAATTTTGCCGTTGTTGCCCTGTATCCTTCAGTGCAAATGGCTATTCTGATTACTACGTATTCACAGTTGTTGTGCGATGCAACTGACGCTGTGTTACGTACACACTACACAGCGTTATGTGTTGGGATTTATGCCATTATATATTGCCCTGTAATTTTCAGTGCAAATGGCTATTCTGATTACTATGCAGTACGTATTCACAGTTGTTGTGCGATGCAACTGACGCTGTGTTTATGTACACACTACACACTATGTGTTATGAATTTTGCCTTTGTATTTTGCCCTGTATCCTTCAGTGCAAATAACTATTCTGATTACTACGTATTCACAGTGTGGTGCGATGCAACTGACACTGTGTTACGTACATACAACTCACTGTTATGTGTCATGATTTATGCCATTATATATTGCCCTGTGTCCTTCAGTGCAAATGGCTATTCTGATTACTACGCAGTGCATATTCACAGTTGTCGTGTGATACAACTGACGCCGTGTCTATGTACACTCTACACACTGTATGTTATGATTTATGCCGTTGTACATTGCCCTGTATCCTTCAGTGCAAATGGCTATTCTGATTACGTACACAGTTGTTGTGCGGTGCAACTGACGCTGTGTACACGCTACGCACTGATGTGCTATGTTTACGCCACTAAATATTGCCCTGTATCATCAGTGCAACCGGCTATTCTGACTTACTATGTATTCACAGTCGATGTCGCGATGCCTCTGACGCTGTGTTTTTGTAAACACTAATGTGACTATGCTATCGCGTTGCCCTGTATCCTTCAGTGCACCTAGCTATCCTATCTAACTGTGCATAGTCACAGTTTGTCGCTACGGCGACTTGCGCTGCATCTGTGTCCACACTGAAGCGTTATGCAGTTATGTTGCTAACGTAACTGACCATTATGTGAACTGTGCATATTCATGCAGTCTCGGTCGCTTCGTCGACTTGCACCGCATTATACACTCAGATGTTTGATGTGTGCACACTGATGGGTAATGCTGTTATGTTGCCCTCTATCCTTCAGTGCAACATCCAGCTATCCTATCTAACTGCATATTCAGTTCTGTCGCTATGGCGACTACACGGCACGTACAAGGACGTGTTTTTGCTATTTTGTTGCCCTGTTTCCTTCAGTGCAAAACTAGCTATCCTAATCTAACCGTGCATATTCACAGTTCTGGATGTATGTACGTAAACGGATGTGTTATGCTGTAATGCTGCCCTGTTTCCTTCAGTGCTGCTAGCCATCCTAATCTAACTATGCATCTTAGTTTCTGTCTCTACACAGTTTCTGTTGCTACAGCGACTTACGCTGTGTTATGTACATGCAAGGATGCGCTATTCCTTACTCACTTGTGTTATGCTGCCATGTTGCCCTGTATTTCAGTGCAACCAGCTATCCCAGTCAAACTGTGCATATTCACAGTCTCCGTCGAGACGGCGACATGCGCTGCATTTATTTACAAATGGATGTGTTCATGCAGCGGTGTTGCCCCGTATCCTTCAGCCTAATACGGAGCTAACTGCGACCTATGCTGTACGTGCATGTGCTACGCTGTTATTTTGCCCCGTTCCTATCAGGGCAACTGGTTATTCTGTGCAAACTCATATATTCACAGTTGTAGCTACAGTTATGACTGTGTTTGTTTGCTTACTGAGGTGCTATGCTATTATGGGGCTATTTTCTAACTGCGTATATTCACAGTTGTCGTCGCTACGGCCACTGGCACTGTGTTTATGTACATTCAGTTATGTGTTGATTTGCACTTCTGTACATTGGCTATAGAACATCGGCTATGTTCTACAAGGTGGCACCCCAGCCCCAAGCTGTGGAACCTTCTTGTGTGTCCGTTGCTGGGTCCTTAGTTGAGCAAGACACTTCACACTGACAAGTGCTGAGACGGAGCTCTCCCTAAGATGGCCTTACCACCGGCTCTCGCCCCAGCGAAGCACTTGGAGACTTACGCTCATTCTAGTGAATGTTGTCGCATTGTCTCGGACCTGATGACTGCAGCGTCACTCCCAGTCCGATACCAAGCTACGTTCCGAAGTCGCTTACACCGTTCAGAGCACAGGTTGATCCCTGCCCGCCTTATCTGCTGAGTTTCAGCCTCGCATGATGCCGATGCTCAGAGTGATGTTGGCCCTGTAAGGGATTTGTTGATGTACGTGGATCACTTGGCAGCAGTCTACCAGCTGTTTGTGTGCTTGGTGGATGGGTACTAGGGACGTGCTGTTTTATACAGAGACTTCTCTCTGAATTCGATGCTTTAAATGGTTGCTTAATGCCTACGGGATTTAGGTATGCTGGCTGTCTTCTCAGAAAACATTCGCCAGGGTTCCAAGTTTGATGCACCACCTTAGCGTCGTGGGTTCGGTGAGTTTTATCAATGTACTCATGAAACTGTTACCACCAGCTGTGCAGTAGTCTGTATTGCAGAGTTACCATTGCTGCTAACTCTGTGTTATGACTATAAGGTTACATAGCTGTTTCCACATTACGCAGTAGTTCCAACGTACTGTTGACTCTGTGTGTGGCTTAAGGTTATGCAGCTGTCACCGCTATGCCGTCGACACTGTGTTAGCTCTTGTGCTCGAGTGCTTATGGTGTTGTGCTGCCCTGTCCAGTGCAGCCTTCGCCTCATTGCAGTGGATGCGCAACTTGGTAAGCCGGAGCAGACGTTGGTCTAGTTTCGCCTATCAGTTTTGAGTGCTCCTAGCGGCGCTGCTGGCTTAGAACTGTTGTTCCTGTGGGAGTGTAGCTTGACCCCGTTCAGGGCTTATCTTCACTGCGCTCACGGCGGGATTCTATACAGTTCCCATATACGTCAGAATGACGTAATGTCGAAGTGACCGCCTTGAAAGGGAACGTCTCCGGTTACTATCGTAACCTCGGTTCCCTGAGAGGCGGGAATGAGACATTACGTCAACCGCCGTGCTCGCCGTTTGATCAGCTGTGCTAGCGTTCAGTCTTGATTCTGACGTAATTGTCGCGCCCATGCTATTTATACTGCCCGCGGACCGGTCAGCATTTGCATGTTTTGCGTCAATTGGCCAGCTGTCTCCAGCTGGCGTTAACCTATAAGATTTCAGTGAAAATGGAGAAGGGAGGAGTTCCCATATACGTCAGTATGACGTAATGTCTCGTTCCCGCCTCTCAGGGAACCGAGGTTACGATAGTAACCGGAGACGTTTTCCACGTACAGATGACATCATTGTCTCTGCGAAAACGACTAAAAACCCTGTATTCTGCTGCCAGGCCAGTAGATAGCGATGAAACACTATAGACTGTAATACGCATGTGCATGACGTCATTGTCTTCAGAGATTCGCATTTTTGTTGTTTACACGGAGACCGGTTTAAAAAACTTGCGTTTTCAGGCGCCCAAAACACCGCTGTCGTGTAAACGAACGACCAAAACGCATAAAAAGTTTTACGTTTTCGGTTAAAACAGTGTCATGTAAATCGCCCCTGAGAGTAGCGGTTCTGTGAAAATGTACATTATGTGGAAAAAATATATAGTTTTTTGAACATTAAAGCATATGCTCTGTTTAATTTTGATCATGTGTTGTGTTACTCAGGCATCAGACGTGTCCCGCAGCAGAGGATCTTCTCTGGGGAACAGACCTGGAAACAGTCCAAACCAGCCGGACTCAGTGCCTCTGGGTCAGTCAACACACACACACACACACACACACACACACACCTGGTCTCAAGCCGTAAGACTCGCTGGTGATGGTGACCAAAGTATCAGTCAAAACACAGATGGCCAACCGAAAGAAACATGTATTTTGTATTCATTATCGGTATTGTGGATCATTGAGTTGAATAAGTGATTATTATAACATTTTGGACAAAAGGGGTCAATAAGATTTTTTGAAAGAATTAATTATTTTAATCAACAAAGATTAAAGATGCTGTATGCAACTTTTTTACTCTACTAAAGCATAAGAATACCATAATATGTTTGCAGATATTTAGTAAACATGCTTAATTAATAAGTTCACATACTCGTTTCTCTGAAAAACACTTTTTATTAGCCAGTTATTTTACTTATTATTTTACACCCGGTGTTGGAATGTGTGTTTTTGTTTTGGTCTGTGTGACTCCGCCCACTGCCAGTTCAGCCAATAGTGTTTCGACACCCGAGCTGCCAGTTGTCAGGAAACACAGCATCCTTGGAAACGAGCAAACAAACTGTGTCAGAGATTGCAGATTTCACACAACCTAAAAAGCCTCGATATCCATATAAAAATCTCTATGAACGAGAGCATATTAAAACGCAGATAAATCAACTCATCAACTTACAGTGTGCAAGTCTCCTCGGCTTTCGCGTGTCCTTAAACTGGCAACCCGCGTGAGCTAGACTCGCGTCGAGTCTGAGGAGGCGGGAAACAACGAGACCTGATATTTCGAATTTGGACTCCAGAACCCATTTCGACCACTAGCTGTCAATCTTACAGACTGCACCTTAATAATGTCAGGTTGACAGCAAGTTTCTGTGCTCCTGAATGTTTCTGTGTGTGATTTCTGAGTGACGTATGTGTGTGTGCGCCTCATCGATAACAGTGCATTAATATAGAACGGTGGTTTTACTGCAAGCCTTCCAGCCAATCAGAATCAAGTATTCAGACAGATCATGGTATAAACCGTAATAACATTTGACCATATTATCGTTTGTAGTCTACTTTTTTGGAATCTCCACAATTAATTTTTTATGCATTCTACATGACTTTCAGTAATTCATCACAGGTTTTTGTCTGTTTTCTTTATCCTCAGCTTACAATGACAAGATTGTGGCTTTCCTCCGCCAGCCAAACATACTGGACACACTGCAGGAACGGCAGCCTAGTCTCGCCAGGAATCACACACTCAGGTGAGACACACACTCAGGTGAGACACACACTCAGGTGAGACACACACTCAGGTGAGGCCGTCTCTGAAATCACACACTCAGGTAAGACACACACTCAGGTGAGGCCGTCTCTGAAATCACACACTCAGGTAAGACACACACTCAGGTGAGGCCATCTCTGAAATCACACACTCAGGTGAGACACACACTCAGGTGAGACACACACTCAGGTGAGGCCGTCTCAGAAATCACACACTCAGGTGAGACACACACTCAGGTGAGGCCGTCTCAGAAATCACACACTCAGGTGAGACACACACTCAGGTGACACACTCAGGTGAGACACACACTCAGGTGAGGCCGTCTCTGAAATCACACACTCAGGTGAGACACACACTCAGCTGAGACACACACTCAGGTGAGGCCGTCTCAGAAATCACACACTCAGGTGAGACACACACTCAGGTGACACACTCAGGTGAGACACACACTCAGGTGAGGCCGTCTCTGAAATCACACACTCAGGTGAGACACACACTCAGGTGAGACACACACTCAGGTGAGGCCATCTCTGAAATCACACACTCAGGTGAGACACACACGCAGGTGAGACACACACTCAGGTGAGACACACACTCAGGTGAGGCCGTCTCAGAAATCACACACTCAGGTGAGACACACACTCAGGTGACACACTCAGGTGAGACACACACTCAGGTGAGGCCGTCTCTGAAAACACACACTCAGGTGAGACACACACTCAGGTGAGACACACACTCAGGTGAGGCCGTCTCTGAAAACACACACTCAGGTGAGACACACACTCAGGTGAGACACACACTCAGGTGAGGCCGTCTCTGAAATCACACACTCAGGTGAGACACACACTCAGGTGAGACACACACTCAGGTGAGACACACACTCAGGTGAGGCCGTCTCTGAAATCACACACTCAGGTATGACACACACTCAGGTGAGGCCGTCTCTGAAAACACACACTCAGGTGAGACACACACTCAGGTGAGACACACACTCAGGTGAGGCCGTCTCAGAAATCACACACTCAGGTGAGACACACACTCAGGTGAGACACTCAGGTGAGACACACACTCAGGTGAGACACTCAGGTGAGACACACACTCAGGTGAGGCCGTCTCTGAAATTACACACTCAGGTGAGACACACACTCAGGTGAGGACGTCTCTGAAATCACACACTCAGGTGAGACACACACTCAGGTGAGGCCGTCTCAGAAATCACACACTTAGGTGAGACACACACTCAGGTGAGACACACACTCAGGTGAGACACACACTCAGGTGAGGCCATCTCTGAAATCACACACTCAGGTGAGACACACACTCAGGTGAGACACACACTCAGGTGAGGCCGTCTCTGAAAACACACACTCAGGTGAGACACACACTCAGGTGAGACACACACTCAGGTGAGGCCGTCTCTGAAATCACACACTCAGGTGAGACACACACTCAGGTGAGACACACACTCAGGTGAGGCCATCTCTGAAATCACACACTCAGGTGAGACACACACTCAGGTGAGGCCGTCTCTGAAAACACACACTCAGGTGAGACACACACTCAGGTGAGACACACACTCAGGTGAGACACACACTCGGGTGAGACACACACTCAGGTGAGACACACACTCGGGTGAGACACACACAGGTGAGATACACACTCAGGTGAGACACACACTCAGGTGAGGCCATCTCTGAAAACACACACTCAGGTGAGACACACACTCGGGTGAGACACACACTCAGGTGAGACACACACTCGGGTGAGACACACACAGGTGAGACACACACTCAGGTGAGACACACACTCAGGTGAGGCCGTCTCTGAAAACACACACTCAGGTGAGACACACACTCAGGTGAGACACTCAGGTGAGACACACACTCAGGTGAGACACACACTCAGGTGAGGCCATCTCTGAAATCACACACTCAGGTGAGACACACACTCAGGTGAGGCCGTCTCTGAAAACACACACTCAGGTGAGACACACACTCGGGTGAGACACACACTCAGGTGAGACACACACTCAGGTGAGACACACACTCGGGTGAGACACACACTCAGGTGAGACACACACTCAGGTGAGACACACAGGTGAGACACACATTCAGGTGAGACACAGGTGAGACACACACTCAGGTGAGACACACAGGTGAGACACACACTCAGGTGAGACACACACTCAGGTGAGACACACACTCAGGTGAGACACACACTCAGGTGAGACACACACTCGGGTGAGACACACACTAAGGTGAGACACACACTCAGGTGAGACACACACTCAGGTGAGACACACACTCAGGTGAGACACACACTCAGCACTCAGGTGAGACACACACTCAGGTGAGACACACACTCGGGTGAGACACACACTCAGGTGAGACACACACTCGGGTGAGACACACACTCAGGTGAGACACACACACAGGTGAGACACACACTCAGGTGAGACACACACTCAGGTGAGACGCACACTCAGGTGAGACACACACTCAGCACTCAGGTGAGACACACACTCAGGTGAGACACACACTCAGGTGAGACACACACTCAGGTGAGGCCGTCTCTGTCAGCGCCGGGACTCGACCTCGGGTTATAGAGCTAATGGGGACTCAGTAACTCAAGCACGTGTTTTAGTTAAATAGGTCATACTATACAGAACCCAGTCGTTTTATGCCAAAGAAAATTAAAGCACTCTGGCTCAGCATTCTGGGAGTGCAGAGATCCATAATGACACATTATATTACTAAATTACTAAAACTTAAACTAAAATGAAAACAAAATATAAAATTACAATAACGGTAATACTTTACAATAAGGTTCATTTGTCAACTACCTAGTTAACATGAACTAAGAATGAACAATACTTCAACATTTATTCATTTTAGTTAATATTAATTTCAACATTTACTAATACGTTATTAAGGTTGTATTTGTTAACATTAGTTAATGCACTGTGAACTAACATGAACACACAATGAACAGCTGGATTTTTATTAACTAACATTAACAAAGATTAATAAATACTGTAACAAATGTATTGCTCATGGTTAGTTCATGTTAGTTAATACAGTAACTAATGTGAACTAATGAACCTTATTGTAAACTATTACCACAATAACTGTATATAAATAATACAAAAATAACAAGTTACAACTAACTATGTAGTGTTAAGCTTATATAGAAATACAGTTACAGTCTCATAAAGATGCATAAAACAAAGTTTTGTGACTGTGAATAAGCATTTGACTTCGTAAATACAGTAACGTGTGCATTACAGCATCACTAATGCAGAAAGCTGATCATTATCTTAATAGCACTCCTGAATGCACACTATAATCCCATTCAACTTGTGCATTACTGTTACTTTAAGAACAATTACATTCCATTAGAGTGAGAGTGGAAATGTGAGATGGTGTGAATGTTTACATGCTTCTTCTGGTCTTCTACATGTTTTCTCTCAGGGAGAAAATCCATTACATCAGGACTGAAGGTCCTCAAGGTGTTGAAAAGCTGTCGTGTGACGCCGACCTGGTCATGCTGTTGAGGTACAGGGACTGCAGTGTGTTACAGGGGAAATCGTGCATGATTGTCATGTTTTAGTTGAAATGCAAAACCACAAGACGTGTCTTTGAACACAATCCTCAGTGTTTGGTTCAGATCACTCCTCAAACAAAGGCACTTTGACTTATGACTTACTCACATGGACCAACACTGGAAAGAAGCGGCTCGAGCAACTCTCCACAGTTAACACACTGTTGAGTTATAGATATAGTTTAAGATACCACTGACAAAGTAAACAATGGTTTCTTTTTACCTACATTTTTTTTTTTACTCACTCGGATATTTAATTTATATTATTTATATGACATTTAATATATTAAGTATACAAAAATATTTTCTCTATACACTGGTGGTCAAAAGTTTGGAATAATAAATAATATTTGTACTTTTTTTTTTAAAGATGCTTATGCTCACCATTTATTTGATGAAAAAAACTGTAAAAACAGTAATATTGTGAAATATTAATTCCAACGTGAATCATCAGTTTTCTATGTGAATATATAGTAAAGTGTAATTTATTCCTGTGATCAAAGCTGAATGTTCAGCATCATTACTCCAGTCTTCAGTGTCACATGATCCTTCAGAAATCACTCTTATGCACATCTAAATGATGTCAAACCACCAGTGTACATTTGAAAGTTTTTCTTCTCTGTCATGCAGTCTCTTTGATGACGAGATCATGTCGTTTATTCCATCTCACTCCTTCCACCCCGGCCTGAGCTTCTCCCCTCGCTGCTCTCCTGGATCCTCGCCTCAGAGTTCACCTGGTATGATCACATCCAAGGGTTTGGAAATCACTTAGTCTTTAATTGCATGACTTTTATAATTGGGTTAGTTTCAGATCATTTAGTAGGGCAACAGTGATACAGGTAAAACTACTGATAGTTATAGCTTTGTAGCCAACTAAAAACTGCCTATGTTTACAAGAAAAGGCATCAGTATTTTCATGTAAGAGGAAGAGTATAGTAAGTTATTTTTGTCTACTATACAGGGGACCTATTAAGCCCTTTTTTAAAGCCTTGATGTAGTTTCAGGCTCTACTAGAACAGGTTTTCCTGCTT